AATTGGGACATGACTCAGAGACTCAGGATGTGGTGAGAACTCGTAGTGCTATTGTGGCTCAGGCCCAGCGTGTGATCAGGTATTCTACCTATAGGGAACAACTCAGGACAACAAGAACTCTCAGGCCTCTCAGGGTCCCCAGCACGGCTGTTTGCCATCCCCCTCCCACCCCCACATATCCTGTCCTTTATCCTCAGACAATGGTCTCTGCAGGCCATATACCAAACCATAGCTCCTTAGTCAGAGGGCCTGAGCTTGAACACACTCTCCAACCAAAAGAGAGCCCTAGAATGAGAAGTAGGAGATTTATACCCTATCCTTGGCACTGCTGTTAACTCCCTGTTTTTCTTGGGCAAGGCACTTTTCCTTTCTTTGCTTCAGTTTCTGTATCTATGAAAACAGTCACTTTCAGTCAACAAGTTTCTACCTTGACAAAATGTGTGCTCCTTGAGGGCAAGGGTCATTCAATTTTTGTCTTTTCATTCCACTTAAATTGCAAAGTGCCTGGTGCATAGTAGTGAATTGTTTGGCTATTGATGGATTGAATGTCTTTTTGATCCCTTCCTGCTTCCATGCATACATGCCCTTATAGTATGTATGTAAAGTCTAAAGACAAAGAGCAGAAAACGTTCCAAGGGGAAGACACTAGAGGGGGTATCAAAGAAATAGTGAGCGGAGCATCAGAAGTAAAGATTTCTGAGACTAGCCTCAAAGGCCACATGTATTTGTATACTCCTACCCGTGGAGCCCCGGGAAATTGAAAGGGTCCTTCAGGTTTCTGCATAGGTTGCTTTCCATCTCTGTTGTACAGAGTGGGGAAAGTTATGGCTTTGGAACCTCCTTACCCTATGAAGATGATGTAGGGGAGGGTAATAATGAATAGCTATAAGCATCTGAAAGGCAGGTACAGGGAAAAGAAATTAGGCTTGCTCTTGGATCAAGAAGTAAGCACCATGGACAGAGGCAGTGTGGAGGCTTAGACCAGGGAACTGTCAGAATCCCATTACGAGGAACTAGACTACATACACGGCAACTTTTAGTGGAGGACTTTAGGAGAAGGAACAAGAGGCCTCACTCAGCTTATGATGGCAGAGTTCTCAATTGTCTGCCATCACAATAGTCTGGAAACTTTTAGGGGATCAACAAGTCCAGATGAGCTTCTAGGTTTAGGAATGCTTTGGCTGTGTTGCTGAGATTTCTTGGCCCCCTCCACCATCTCTCTGTATGTTACTGTGTATCTCCCTCAGGACTCCATTGCTTGTTTCTTGAGGCAGATGATACCTAAGATGGTCAGGAGAACCAGTTCTGTGTCTTTTTCCCCATCCCCATGTGTGTCTCATCCTACAATGGACACAGCTGGTATTCTTCCTGCTAGTAGTGAGTTAGCTGGTACAGCCCTTGTCAGGATATCTTCCCATCAGCCCTGAAGGTGGTTTGACAGCTCAGTACTGTTGGTATCATATATCCAACTCCTTTCTTGGAATACCTGGAAAAGGGGAATCTGTACTGATCTTTGAAGGAAGAAGAGGATGACACCTTGCTGAGCTGGGACTCAGGGCTAGGATTCCTGACTCACACTTGGATTCCAGCCCCACAAGGTGCTGCCTCTCTTTGGCCTTCAGTTTCTTCTGTAAAATGAAGGTGTTAGACTAGAAGACTGGCTCAAACATGATACATCTTCTCCAACTTGTTGTTTTCACATTCCTCAGCCCCCTACTCTTTCTAGGACTTGATGGAATAACAATAATTCCTATTTCTTTAGCACTGTAGGGTTTATTCACATGAAACCCCTGTCAGGTATGTTGTGTAGGAATTCTTATCTTTGTTTGAAAGACTACAAATTTAGGCTCAGAGGGCTTGTCATTTATTAGTAGTTACCTAACTCTCAGCAAGACCCCAAATTCAATAGTAAAAAGGATACAAAATTCAAAATTCAAAAGTAAAAAATAGCACTGGAGAGAGGAAGCTCCCTTTTAGTGGGGGAGTTGCCCATCAACTTCAGTGAACCCAAGCTACTCCCTACTCACCATCTTTCTTAATTGTCTTGGCCCTGTTATATGATTACAAATCATGAAGTACTCTCTCAGTGAAGAACCAAGATGGTAGGTGCTCCAGAGGGTCATGGGGAGCTGCATAGGGAGGGATGAAGTGCAAGAAAGGGGCCAAATGTGGCCTAACACAAGTCCTGCATAGGAAGTGGGATGGATGGATAACTGGCAGGCACTGTGTAGGTGTCAGAGCCCCTTCTCTTAAGGAATTGACATGCCATTGGAAGGTAATGGTAAAGAGTGAGGGGCCATGTATTTTCCATCTTTTGACAGGAGTGACACCATTTTATTTTTATTTTTAAGTATTTATTTTTACTTTTTAACATTCACTTTTATAGGATTTTGAGTTTTAAAATTTCTCCCCCCTGCTTTCCTTCCCCCCCTCCCCAAGATGGCATGCAATCTGTTACAGGCCATACATGTACAATCATATTAAACATATTTCCACCTTAGTCATGTAAAGAAGAATTAGAACCAAAGGGGAAAACCATGAGAAAGGAAAACAGCAACAACAACAAAAGATAAAATAGTCTCCTTCAGTCTGCATTCAGACTCCATAGTTCTTTCTCTGGATGTGGATAGCACTTTCGATCATGAGTCTTTTGGAATTGTCTTAGATCGTTGCATTGCTGAGAAGAGTTAAGTGCATCAAAGTTAGTCATCGCACAATGTTGTTGTTACTGTGTACAATGTTCTCCTGGCTCTGCTCAGTTCACTCAGCATCAATTCATTCAAGACTTTTCAGGTTTTTCTGTAGTCCACCTGCTCATCGTTTCTTACAGAACAATAATATTCCATTATAGCACAACTTGTTCAGCCATTCCCCAATTGATGAACATCCCCTCAATTTCCAGTTCTTTGCCACCACAAAAAGAGCTGCTATAAATATTTTGGTACATGTGGGTCTTTTCCCCATTTTTATGATCTCTTTGGGATACAGACCTAATAGTGGTATTGCTGGGTCAAAAAGTGTGCAGCATTGTATAGCCCTTTGGACATAGTTCAAAATTGCTCTCCAGAATGGTTGGATCAGTGCATAACTCCACCAACAATGCATGTGTTCCAATTTATCATTTGTCATTTAGTGACACCATTTTGGAAACTGTCCACCATTTAATCCAAAGCAGAGATACATACTCCTCACATTTCTTTGTATTCTAAAAAGCCTTTTTGCCTCTGCTCTTGCAACTAAGCTAATATAATAGATAAGCTCACTCTAGATGCAGCTGGGGGGGTCAGTAGATAGAACACTGGGCCTGGAGTGAGGAAGACCTGAGTTCAAGTCCAGTGTCAGAATCTTCCTAGCTGTGGGACCCTGGCCAAATCACTTAACCCAATTGCCCGAAAAAAGGATCTGTTAGAAGTTAGAAGGAACTGTATCATTGTAAAGAAAACCATGTGAATGGATATGATCGATACGGTCACAAAGAGTTGGACGTGACCAAATAACAAGTTTGCTTTCACTTAGGCAGTGATCAAATTCTGCAACCACGCTAAGCCAGAAACCTCTTCAATCCCTGAAGAGGGAGGTTGCCTGGTGTTCTTTTAATCAAGATTAACTAGTGCCTTGAGCAGGAAGTGGAAATCAGCAATGTTCACATGTAAGTATGGAAACCACACTTGCAAGGTAAAAGCACAGTAAAAGGGGAGAGAGGTGGCAGGAAATATTAGGAGGAAGGACTTCACGAAGAAGATGCTTTTGAACTGAGATTTACAGAGACCCAGGGATTCTAGGAGGCAGAGCTGAGGAGGGAGGGCACTCCAGATAGGAGAACCTGCCTATGCAAAAACATGGAGAGAGGGCATTGGAAGCAACACAAGTAAGCCAATTTGACTGGAGCGGAGACTACTCAAATAGGAACAAAATCATAATAATCATTCATAGAGCATTTTAAGGTATGCAAATCTTATATAATTGAGATTTTATGTACATAAGTTTGCACATATGTACATATATGTATATGTGCATATATGTATATTTTCATTTGATTCTCATAACAGCCCTGGGAGATAGGTGCTGTCATTATCTTAATTTTTTTCCACATGGGGAAACTGAGGCTGGCTGTGGTTCAGTGACTTGCCCAAGGTTATACAGTTAGTAGATGTTTGAGGCAGGATGATGAAGTCAAATGTTCCTGACTCCAAGTCCAGCACGCTTAGGGACATTGCCACCTAGCCCACCACTCAGTGATCTGTAACGTCTACAAGGGAAGGATGGAGCCATAGTGGGAAAGGGGAAGGCAGGGTAAGGGCTCCTGTTTCATTACAACAGAGCAGAGACAGATGTCTAGGTCACATAATTGACTCTAGCAGATACACACACTTGTGGAATGTGGGATCCTCATGCCAGCTTCCCAAAGTATCAGTTCCAGAAAGGTTAATGAACATGGGGATAGCGCAGAGCCAGGGCTCCAATGGGCAGTTCCATAGAGAGCAATGAAAATACCTAGGTTATGAGGAGTTCCCCAAATCCATCAGTGAACTGATAAGCATTGATTAAGCACCTACTGTGTATACTAAGTACTGGAATAGGTGCTGAGGATGCAGGGAAAAAAAATCTTGTTCACATTCGCTAGGGCACATGTAAGTGTGTACAAAATCGGTTTGAAAGAATACAGGTGGCGACTGTTTAAGGGAATGGGGTGGGCTGCAGCATGGCCAGGCTTAAAGCCGACCTGGGATCTGGAGAGCCCAGAGGCCCCTCCCCTCCCCACGGTCCTCTTTCCTGGCAAACAATTATTTTTATTACCGTCACCATCCTCAGCATCTTGCTCATTCCAGCTTTGCCATGTATGAGCTGTAGAGCTTTAAGCCAGTCATTTCATCTCAGACCAAAAAGCTTTATATCTCATTCGGGTCTCACAACAACCCTCGGAAGCAGGTGCTTGCATTATCCTTATTTTATAGATGAGGAAACCGAGGCAGAGGTGAAGGGATTTGCTCAGGGTGACACAGCTAGGCAGTGACTGAGGTTGCATTTGAACTTGTCTTCCTGACTCAGGCCCACTTCACGCAGGCAAGCAGGCAGGTAGGTTTGTGTGTGTGTGTGCGCATGGTGGGGTGGTGGGGGGTGGGGCGCCTATTTCGGGTCCCAGATCCCCTCTCATAGGCCTTGGCCTACCCGGAATGGCCATGACTCCGACACTTCTGGGGTCCTAGGGTGAGCCGGCTCGGCCACAGATGGCTTGGTAGGCGGGTGCTTCGGAGGAGGGAGCCAGGCTGCGGGCCCCACGGCCCTTTCTCTACCTCTCCGTGGTTCTCAACCTTCCGCTACATCTTGCCACATGACCATCCGAGCTGAAAACCGCAGGCATGTCCCAGGGAGATTTTGGGTGTGTGGAAGGAAGGGTTCGTCTCGTCATGGTTCTCTAAGGCGATTAGGTCAGGACAGGAACTGCCCATCCCACTTTCACCCCCATAATCTCACCATATCCGGCCTCTTTCCCCACATCTCTGAGCTTTAAAATAAGCCCGACCCACCCACACAGAAAGCGAGATCATAACAGCTTCATAAAACTCAGTTCCTTAGGCGCTGGAGATCCGTATTAAAGCGAGCCTGGCAACCGCAGACACGAGAGCTCCCTCCATAGAGGTTGCTGTCCAGCATGTCTAAAGCTCAGCATCCTCCTTCCCACCTCCCTCCAGCAGAACAGACGAAATGACCAGAGTGCACTGGGTCCTTTCTATCCCTGCAGAGAAAAAGAGGGACTCTGCTAGCCTGCCTCGGTCGCAGAGAGGGGGACTCCCCAAAACACAGAGGCATCAAAGGAATATGCCCCTCATTGTCTTCTTTTTTTGGTCCATCCAATTTCCCCTTTGCTGAGACAGCTTCTTGGCCCAGAACACTGCAGAGGATAGTATGAGAGGTATGGGAAAAAATGAATTTCCTCCAGTAGCATGAGTTTGCAAGCCCTCCTCTCACTCCCTTGCACTTTTTCTCCTTCTCCCCATGCACCTTGTCTCTATCTCTGTAACATGCCTCCTATCCTTTTCTTTCTTTCATATTGTTACCCCTAGAGTTCAGACCTTCTGTCACCTCAAGCCTGGAGTAATATTATAATAGTCTCCTAATTTGCCTCCTGGCCTCCATTGTCTTTTTTTCTCCAATAATTCTGTCACAGAATATTTAAAAGACTATGTGTTTTATTACAGGGCAGGAGAATTGAACCCGGAGGCAATTCTTATCCTGTCCAAAACTGCCAGAGAGTCTCCCACAGTGCAGATTTAACCCACAGAGCATGACCATACTCATAGCCAACCTGGCATGACTGGAAGCCCAGGTGTTGCCAAGCAAGTCTAAAATGACCCTGATGGGGAGGGAGTCCATGAGCCAGTGCTTAGCTGTGGTATAGGAGCAGAGAGGTTGGGCTCTTTCATCTCCTGAGAGAGTGTGTGAGAGGTGTTTATTTTAGGGCTCAAAGATGTGGGGAGAGGGGCCACTTGGTGACTGTGTGTGGGACATAGGGGTGGGGAGTCTGCAGCCTAGACCTAGCTGCTTTAGGAAACAATGACATGAAGAAGCCATTCTTCCCCCACCCCAAATCACCTTGGGACAGGCACATGGTTTTGAGCTCAGAGGGTCCCATGGCAAGATGCTGGGTAGCAGGCAGGAGGGAAGTATGTGTGTAAAACAGAGGTGAGAAACTTGGGTCATTCTTCCTTTAACACTTCATTAACATGTCTTGATTACACATTTTGTTTCTTCCTTGACTTCATTAACTGAGTTGGAGATGTACTAAATACTTTTTCCTTTATATCTATATTTGGACATGTTGTCAACCCTGATAGAATGTAAACTTGAGGACAAGGACTGTTTTACTTCTGTCTTGTCAGGCATTTAGTAGATTTTTAAAAATCTTATTTAGTATTTTATATTTCCCAATTATATGTAAAAATAATTTTAACATCTCCCCTCCCCATTTTTTCATTTTTTTCAATTTTTTTCTACTTCTCTCCCTCCCTCTTCTCCCCCTTCATCGAGAAAGCAAGCAATTTGACATAGGTTATACATGTGCAGTCACACAAAACACATTTCCATGTAAGTCATTCTGTTAAAGAAAACACAGACAAAAAACCTCAAGAAAAATAAAGAACAAGTATCTTTGATTTGCATTCAGCCTCTACCAGTCCTTTGCTGGGGATGGAAAGCATCTCTCATCACAAGTCCGGTAGAATTGTCTTGGATCATTGTATTGTTAAGAATAGCTAAGTTGTTCATAGTAGATCATCATACAATATTGCTGTTACTGTGTACAGTGCTCCACTGGTTCTGCTCATTTCACTTTGCATCAGTTCATGTAAATCTTTTCATATTTTTTTCTGAGAGTATCCTGCTTGTTATTTCTTATAGCGCAATAGCATTCAGTCACAATCATATACAACAACTTGTTCAGCCATTCACCAATTGATGGACATCCCCTCAATTTCCAATTCTTTGTCCCCACTAAAAGAGGTGCTATAAACATATATAAACATATATATATATATATACATATATATACTGTATATGTATATTGTACATATAAATCCTCTTCCTTTTTGTTTTTTTTATCTCTTTGAGATACAGACCTATTAGAGGCATTGATAGGTCAAAGGGTAAGCATGGTTTTATAGCCTTTTTGACATAGTTTCAAATTGCTCTCCAGAATGGTTAAATCAGCATACAACTTCACCAATAATACATTAGTGTTTTGATTTTCCCACATCTCCTCCAACACTTGTCATTTTCCTTTTCTGTCATATTAGCCAATTTGACAGGTATGAGGCTGTAGTTCAGAACTGTTTTAATTTGCATTTCTCTCATCAATAATGATTTAGAGTATTTTTTTAAATATGACTATAGATAGCTTTGATTACTCTGTCTGAAAACTGCCTGTCCATATCCTTTGACCATTTATCAATAGAGGAATGGCTCTTATTTGTATAAATTTTCATTTAATAGATTCTTTATAATCGATTTCCTCTTATTGTTTATTAATCTTCCTTTAGTTGTAGTGTCTTCCATCTCTTAACTATCTCCATTCTGTTCTGTCTACAGCTTGTTTGTATGTGGTTGTTTACATGTTCTCTCCCTATTTGACTGGGAGCTCCTTGAGGATAGAGACTGTCTTTTGCCTTTCTTTGTATCCACAGCACTTAGCACAGTTTCTGGAACACAGCAGGTGCTTAATAAATGTTTATTGACCGCTTGCCTGTATGACTGACTGGTTGAATTTGTAGGGGGACATAGGTATAATTCTAACAGGATAAGCAATTAACCTACATTTTTAGCAGGAAAACTGACCTGGGTGAGATCACAGGTACATTGGAGTATCAGAAGTCTTTGTGCACCTGAGGTTTTCTCTGCTCTTCCTGTAGAATATACATTGGGGTCACATCCTAGATGCATCAAACTTGTATAGATTCATCTTAGGGAGAGAAAAAAAGGTGGAGGAGAGAGAGAAGGAGGAAGGGAGGGAAAAAAGAGAGAGAGAGACAGAGATAGAGAGAGACAGAGACAGAGAGAAACAGAGTCAGAAGAGGCAGAGAGACAGAGAGAAACAGAGACAGAGAGAGGAGATAGATAGACAGACATAGAGACAGAGACAGAGAGGGACAAAAACACACAGAGAGACAGACAGAGGCAGACAGAGAGACAGGATAGAAAGGTAGAGAAGGAGACAAACATAAAGAGAGACACAGAGAGGGATAGACAGAAATTCAGAGAGATAAATACAGAGAGGGACAGAGAGACAGAAACAAAGAGTGATAAAGACAGGGAGACAAAAAGACACAAATGAAGACACAGAGAGAGGCAGAAATAAAGAGATAAAGACAGACAGGGACAGAGAGATACAGAGACAGAAAGATAGAGACATAGAGACTGAGAAATATAGAGAGACAGAGAAAGAGACAGAAACAGAGACTGAGAGAGACAGACAAAATAATTTCAATAGTGTGAACACTTCCCTTCCAGCCACCATTTTATTCAGTACGTGTTTGTTGTGGAATAGGCATGAGACAGGAGATGTAAACTTTCCACTCCTCAGTCTCAGTTCCCAGGGACCTCTCATAGTGTGACCGTCTTATTGCACTGGATGTGAATCTAAAATCCATCATGATGTCCACAAAGAATCCATTTATTGTCCTTGAATAGATAGAGCTAATAAGGACGACCTTGGCTGAACTTCCTAGTATTTGTCCAGCTAGGATTCCCCCAGGCTCCTCCCTGATCTTGACTCCTTTGTGTCCTTTCTTGTTTGTGGAAAATTAGGAAGACAAAACGATTAGATGGTGCTGTGATCACCCTATAATATCATCCCATTAAAAGGTATTTCAGGGGCATTTATTTTTGGTCCTGATTATCAATTGTTGTGATTATCATTGTTTGGCAGCTAAGTCTTACATGGTTGTTGTTGTGGTTTTTTTTTTGGTGCCTTTTTTGATTAGAATTTCTGGCTTCTGCCTGTCTTTTTATTTATAACTCAGAAAAGCATAATAAAAAACAAAACCAACACTCAATTGTTGCCATAGCAACTGTCAGAGATTCATCCACTCTCTGATACAGATAGCCTTCTTTTAGAAAGATCCTAACCTTTTTTCAGGTGTAATTGTCCAAAGATACCATACTGCACCTTATTGATAATTTAAGTGATTTTCAGAGAGCTTTTGTTACTAACACAATTTTGTTTTACATAGTCAATGAGGAAGGAAATCAATTAGCCTTTATGAAGTGTTTACTGTGTTCCAGGTACTATGTCTTACACTTATGTTGCTGCATTCTAAGTTTTTTGAATGCAGGGATATTTTCATCTGTGTCTCTACTATTTAGCATATGTGGTACCTGGTACATCCCAACCATATGATAAATTCTTACTGAGGTAATAGAATGGGATGGAATAGAGGAGTTAGGGTAAAAAAAGTAAGGGATTGAAATTTCAGCCTCTGAGATAAGGGATGGGGTAGAGAGGGAGACTGAAAACTCTAGTGGGTTTTGAATATTCAGTGCACTCATGAAGAAGCAGTAGATAGTCAAAATCTGTTGGTTTTTTAAATACCAACCTCAGCTACAGTGCCTCTTCTGTGTGTGGCTATAGCTAGAGCTCATTTGTTTCTTTTTTTTGTAAGTGAGGATAATAATATTTACCCTAGCTATAACTTGAGGTTTTGGTGAGGGAAGTGGTTTATAAACCTTAAAGACACTGTTCTTTGCCCTTTGAATCCAAAAAAGGAAGAGAAGAATGAAACGGATCCTCAGCTCTGCTCATTCCCATTCCAAGTTAAGCTTTTGGGAGATGACTGGGAAACACCTACCCTTAACTGCTTCTGTGTTCTACTTTTGCAGGTCTGTACCACAAATTGTTCTTTTCAATATGGCCTGGCCTCCAGGAGAGAGCATAACCCTGAAGTTTAGGTGGCTGAAACTTGGGAAAGCCTTGCTAATTCCTTATGTCAGCAGGGATGAGCAGACTATGAGGTTGACTTCCCCTTCCTGCCTGTGACTTACTAGGATCTTGGGAACTCAAGTTGTATTGACTATTGAATGACACTTCTGTATCTGGGGTCCATGGCTTGTGAGGTGTCCCAAGTGGTCCCCTGTTTCCAGAATGGATTCATCTTCACTTCCACCTGGCAGAATTCTGACCTTCCTTCAAAGCAGAGGTGAGATGCAAGTCAAAGCCTCACCCTCAGTATGCCATTGGTCCTCTTGGGGACCTTCCGCATGGTGACTTTCCAACCTCATGGCCTGAGGAACAAGCACTCTCTTCTCAGCAGAGTTTTTACATAGCACTGTAACAACTGAGGTGATTCCCAGCTCAGATAGCAGGTCACTCAGGGAAGCTACCCCCGATTCCAAGAGCACTATGAATGCACACATACTCGAAATCAGTAACTGAAGAGCCTCCACTAAAGTTTCTACTTTTATTCACCAGTCAGAGAACACTATTAATTCAAAGTAAAAGCAGTTAGTTATAGAACACAGTAAAAAATGGTATCAATAAAGTGTTTCTCCAGTAAATTTGGTGCATACTCTAACACAAATATGTGCCCGAGTGGATTAATATTGAGTCTGTGTGTGATTAGGACATACACACAGGAAACACACGTAGTCAAAGCACAGGCATAGAGGTCCCCAGGTCAGGAAGCTCTGTCAGGAAACACTCTTTTTTTGGAAGGTGAAATTCGTACTTCCCTCACCAGTTTTGCCCCCTCCCCCTTTTTGGTCTAACCTGGCTGCTGCCTGGTACTGTTCAGCTGATTTCATGGTTGCTGCTTGCCCTGGGCAGACATAGCTCCTTTGGAGACAAGGATGTGGAGCTTCTAGCTTCAAGTGGAGTCCTCAGACGAGGTGATGATTCTTCCCACTGAGAGGAAGAATGGGCTCTGCCATTTCACTTCTAACTTTGTTGTTGCTCTGTCAACCATGGTTGGGCCTGACTCTCAGTGACCCCATTTGGGGTTTTCTTGGTGGAGATGCTGGAATGGTTTGCCATTTTCTTGTCCAGCTCATTTTTCAGATGAGGAGACTGAGGCAAACAGGGTTAACTGACTTGCCCAGGGTCACACAGCTAAGTGTCTGAGGTCAGATTTGAGCCCCAGATTTTTTTTTTAAACAAAGGAAGAGTTCTCTCATATCCATTCATTGGACTGATGGGAAAAAAAAATACCTAGCAATTTTTTCCCCTTTGCAGAGTAATTCAGCTCTAAGAGCCTTGGCTGTCACTGGCATTTGCTTTCCAAAAAAAATACCTTCTCTCTAGGAAGTCAGGCTCTCTGAATAACAAAAAATCCCAGAAAATTAGTGCCTTCAAGCTCAAGTTATTAAAAAACAAAACAGAACTGATTTTTGCTTTTCACCAACAGCAGAATCTTTATCAGTATTCTCTTTACAATTTAGGATTGGAATGTCCTTGTAACTCCAAAATTTAAAAAGATGACTTTTATTTTATTTTTTAAAATTAGTAAGCATTTACTTCTTTCCCTCATACTTGCCTCTCCCCAAATTGAAAAACAGAAATAAACAAAAATCTTCTGACCAATATGCATAATCAAATAAAATGAATTCCAAAAGATTACTTTTTTTTCAATCTCCATCTTTTTAGTTCATCACTTTTCTGTCTCACTGTGGGTAGCATGCTCCATTATCAGCTGTCACTACTGCATTGATCAATTTGTAAGTCTTTCACGCTGTTTTATATAGCTTGCTTTGTATATATTTGTTTGTATATTGTCTCCCTCATTAGATTGTAAGCTCCCTGAAGGCAGGGACTATCTTTTGCATTTTTTATATCCTCAGCACTTAGCACAGTGCCAGGTGTGTAGATGGTTCTTAAAAATGTTTATAGATCAATTGATTGTCTATTGTTTTTGAATATATTATTTTATATTGTTCTCCTGGATCTGTTCACTTTGCTTTGGAGTAATGCATAGAAGTCTTTCCAAGTTTTTCTAGATTCATCCTTGGCATCATTTCTAACAGTACATAGGATTTTATTACATTCGTATCCTATAATTTGCTCATCTTTTCCCCAATTGATAGGCACTCTGGTTTCTAGTTCTTTGCTATTACAAAAAAGATTTGCTATAAAGATTTGTTTCTATATATATTGGTCTTTTTCCTCTTTCTTTGATCCCTTTGGGGCATAGGCCTAGTAGTGATATCAGTGGGTCAGTCTGTATCAACAAAATCAACACAAACTTCTTCTGGTTCATGTTGATTTTTGTTTTCCTTGAAGGCAGGGACTGTCCCATTTGGCCTTATTCCCCACTGAACATTCTCATAGTGCCTTATATATAGTATGTAATTGATAAGTACTTGTGGAATTGAATTCCTTCAAAAGAGAGGCAGTTTCTTGCAGTGGAAAGAGCTCTAGATTTGGGGTCTGAGGACTTGGATTCAAATAATGGCACTGCCTTGTATGACCTCTTCAAGCCAGGTTTCAATTTCCTCCACTGTGAAATGAGGGGTCTGGATTCAATGAAACTAATGTCCTTTCCAGCTTTAAATCTATGATCTTCTAATTACAGGTTTTGAAAAGTTGTCATTGGGATTATATAGACAGTCATAGAACATCAAAATTCTCCCATTTTCTGAGAATATGTTCATTTTGAAATATTCATTTTGGATCCCACAAAATTTCTACACTAGAATCTACCCAATCACCTGATGAGATTTAGTGGTGGAACTTATTGACAAGGACAAAACCTCAAAACATGCCCAGATGTCTCCATGCACTGGCAATCAAACAAATGGGATTTTGAAAGTCTGATGCATCTAAGATGGCACAGGTATCATTACTCTGAGGTAAAGAATCCTGTCTAATTGAACTCAGAGCTGGTAAGACTGGAGATTCAGGAGGGACCTACTCAGGAGTTTACCCAAGAACGTGAAGACTTTTCCCAGCAGAATGGGTGGATGAGAACAATTTGTTCCAACAGCTACGAAGGCAGTTGAAGCAGGTACTGTGGAGCACATGGGGCTTGATCAGACATCAAAGATGCCGAGGTCATCTACTGCATCTTGAGCCATCATCACTCATCTTGACTTTCGTTCTGCCACTGGACTTCGATGACTATGAAAGAGAGAGTGAGGCTGACAACTTTGTGCAACTCTGCCTTGCTTAAATCCAATTCATGTGCTAGTCAAGACATCACTCTGTGATGTCATGGGTCCTTTTCAAAAATGAAGGACAAACAACTCAAGAGTTTGTACTGCACAAAGTTTGTTTTAGTCTTTGATCCACACCCTCTTCTTTAGCTCTTTTGATTTTTTTTTTCTTGGCAGGCAATAACTTCTGTGAGCTACCCAGTGCATCAGTGAACATGCAGTACCTCCAGATACCAAGATGAGATCCAAATGGACACATGACTGAGATAGCAAAGGTCATCTCCTACTTGGATTAGAAGAGAAAGAAGATATTTCCTTTGCGATGTATGGTTAGGGAGAGTTATTACCAGAAAAGGGAGAAAATGTGTCATAGGGAGAGAGTGCAGAAGATCAAATTAGTCATTTTTATTACATAAAATTAAACACTTCTATAGAAACAAAACTAAGGCAGCTAAAATTGAAAGGGAAACGGTAAACTGGGAAAATGTTTTCAGCAAGTTTCTCTGATCAAGTTCTTATTTTCAAGATATATAATGAATTGGTTATAAGAACCATTTATAAGAATTTATAAGAACAACAACCATTCCTCAATGATAAATGAACTGATTCTATACTGACCTATTTGGAATGGAATTTTGAACATGCAGTTTTTGAAGGAAGAAATTCAATTTATCAACAGCCATATTAAACTATGTCCTGAATCACTTATAATTATTTTATTATGTTTTATTTTACTTTTCAATCAGCAAAAAAAGTCTTCTCTGCCCTTTCTACTCTATTTCCTTCTCCCAACTGAGAAAGAAATAAAAATGAAACTGCTATTACAAACATGGATAGTCAAACATAAGGGGCAAAGTGCTTGAGAGAAGAGGACAGTATATATAATTAAACTGGTTCACTGAGGGGTCAAGATGAGGAGGGAGACAGACAATAGCCAGTGGAGCAGCAATGGCTTGGGAAAGCACTGGGAAGCCAAGGGACTAGAGGACAAATGTGGACAAAGAACAGGGTTTGGGGGTTAGAAGACAGGAGAAGTGTAATGACAATGGATTATGATCAGAGAAAGTAATTTCAGAATTCATGAACATGCATGTGGAAGACTTGTGGGTGATGACAAGGTTAAGAGTTTGACCATCTCCGGTCAGTTGGTACCACCACCTAAAGTACTGAGTTACTTGAGCCTCCCTACCAGACCATCACCACCACCACCACCACCATCATCCCCCCCTCCCCCCAACAGAGCAGAAAATTTTATATTAAACAATGGCTGGGTGAAAAAGTACTGATGCAACATTTTTTCCTTGTAGGGGATTTACCAGTGTTTCCACATGAAATCCTACCAAGCTGGCCTTTCACAGGACATGAACAAAGATAAGGGAACTTGATCAAGCTTGAACAGCTAGAAAATGGTAATGCCTGGATTTAAATCCAGATCTTCCCAACTACTAGGGTTAGAATCTTGTAGCCCTGTCCACTAAAACAAATGGTCTTAAGAGGAATGTGAGCATGCCCCTGAGGTGGGAAAGGAGACTGAGAGAGGGAGGTAAGACCAAGGAAGGATGTGCCCTGCTATGGTGGTGGTGGTGGTGGTGGTAGGGTGTCAGGAATGGCTGGAGGTCATAGGAAGGAGCTGTTCCCTATATCACTAATTTCATATGGGAAATGGTGTGGCCTCTTTTCAGGGGAGGTAACAGCATATCTGTCCACCACATCCTGGGCCCAGCCCCCAACTATGGTTGACCCTTCCTTCAATGTAGCTGAGACCAATCAACAGAGGAAATGGCTAATGGTAAGTCATACTTCTCACACTCACTTTTTTCCTTTACTTTGATGAGTGTGAGGGACCAGGGTTAGAGCTAGTGTGGGGAGGAGCTTACAGATGGCCTGCAAGTGTGAGTTCTGGGGGAAAGAGGAGGCTATTGAGCATTGCTGGCAGGATGCCCAGATAGTGCAGAATCTAGGCTTCTTTTAATAGGCAGTTGGTAGTGGGTGATGGTCTGGGCCCTGTCTCTCTTGAAGGCCTCTCTCACAAGACTATGTCTGGGTCAGGGCATCAGGGAGAAGAAGGTCAGTCCTCCTCTACCCTCCCCCTCTGCCCTTCTTCCTCATGGTTCTGCATTGAGACCCCCTTTCAGGATAGCTGTGGAGCAGGATGGAAGAGGAATCTCTGCTGGGCTGGGAAGGGCTGCTCTGGGAGGGGCCCAAATGGGAAGAGAGCAGGTAGTGGGGTGGGGCAGGAGCTGCCCACTGTTGCAGGTTGTAATTGCTTTCTGTAGAACCTCCCTCAGCACTGTGCTCTGTGCTCTGTATGGCAGGGAAAGAGCAGGGAATCACATGTAAGCCTTTTGTGCCAGGGGCTCCAGAAAAACACTCATTTCCTCTACATCTTCAAGGATAAGAAATTCAGAGACAAGGTATCTGTTTCCAGGCTGGATAATGAATTCACATTCAGGAATGTGGGAGCTGTTGACAAGGAGTTAGAGCTGTCATTGTGGCCAATGGACCAGGTGCCTGGGCAGGGCTCAGGGAAGCCTGCAACTCATGTAACAAGAAGAATAAAAGTCACAAGAGGAAGTCATGCTTCTCTGGTGCTTTCTGGGTGACAGGGTGCATTCCTCAAGACCTTCCTGAGAGGCAGCTGGGGGTGAAGGGAAGAAGGGGGCCAGATAAAGCAGTTGTGGCACTGGAGGAGGAAGGTGACTGAGCCCCAAAGCCCTCACTGGGAGCTTCCTTAGCTAATCTTCACAATAACAATGGCTTATATAGTGCTTTGTAGATAGTTCTTGGAGGTTTGCAAAGTGCTCCACAGATATCATCTCATTTTACCCTCACCTGGGAGGTAGATGCTATTATTATCCCCATTCTACAGATGAAGAAAACTGAGGCAGGGAATGATTCTGTAACTTGCCCAGTGTAACACAGCTAGTAAACACCCAAATCTAGATTTGAATTCAAGTCTTTCTGACTTCAGGCATTTGTTAAGTGCTTAGTACATGGCGCAGTGAGAAGAAAGAAGAGGTGACTCTGCATGCTAGGCCTTGCCTCTCTTCTGATACCTTTGATCCAATGGCTGCTTATCTCCCCCAGCAGGCTGTCATCACTTCCCACTAATCTTCACTCTGTCCCATCTACTTGGTCCTGTTTCCTTTAAACATGTCCAATTCTATTCTACATTTACCAAAACCTTCACTTGAAATGTCTCCTTCCTCGCACAGATAAATGCCTATAAAAGCAATCAGTGCTCATTGCTTCCACTTCCTCCCCTTTCACATACTTCTCAAGCCCATATATGAGATATGGCTTCTTGCCCGTATCTCAACTGAAAGCACTATCTCTAAATTTCCTAGTGATCTATAATTACCAAGTCAAATGACCTCCCCCCCCCCCAGCTCTTATTGGTCCTGGCCTCTCTGCAGCATTTCATACCGTTAGCACCATTTCCTCTTGGATACGCTCTCTTCTTCTCTAGGTTACTGTGGCAGTGTTTTCTTGGTTCTGTTCCCACCTGGGCATTCTCTTTTTTCATTTAATATTTTATTTTTTTCCAATTACATGTAAAAAACAATTTTAACATTCTTTTTTTCTTCAAATTTTGAGTCCCAAATTCTTTCTCCTCTGGCCTGCTCATTGAGAAGGCGAACAATTTGACATAGGTTATACATGTGTAGTCATACAAAACACATTTCCATGTAAGTCATTCTGTTAAAGCAAACACAGACAAAAATCCCCAAGAAAAATAAAGTATGGAAAAAGTGTCTCAGCCTCTACCAGTTCTTTCTGTGGAGATGGCCAGCACCCCTCATCGTAAGTCCTACAGAATTGTCTGGCATCGTTGTATTGCTGAGAATGACTAAGTTAGTCATAGTGGGTCATCGTACAATATTGCTGTTACTGTGTACAGTGTTCTCCTGGCTCTGCTCATTCCACCTTGCTTCAGTTCATGTAAGTTTCCATGTTTTTCTGAGAGCATCCTGCTCATCATTTCTTAAAGCACAATAGTATTCCATCACAACAATACACAACAATTTGTTCAGCATTCCCCAGTTGATAGACATCCCCTCAATTTCCAATTCCAACTTGTCACCACAGAGAGCTGCTCTAAATATTTGTGTTCACATAGGTCCTTTTCCTTTTTGCTTTTTATCTCTGGGATAGAGACCTAGTGGTGGTATTGCTTGGTCAAAGGGCATGCATGGTTTTATAGCTGGGCACTCTCTCTTACACACTCTCTCTTGGTGACTACATCAATACCCAAGGGTTCAGTTACCATCTCAACCCAGGCTGAGATCATTATCATTCGTCCCCACCATCTCTTTTCAGCTCTGATTCTCATATCACCAACTGACTCTTGACCATTTCAAGCTGAATGTCCTAGAGAAATCTCAAATTCAGTGTGGTCAAACCAGAAATCACTACCTTCCTCAAACTCAGCCTCTTCCTTATCTCCCTATTTCATTTCAGGGCACCACCATCCTTCCACTCACCCACATCCACAACCTTGGAATTTAACCCCTCATATTGGAAATGAGAAAAAGGAGCCACAGCGAGAAGACTTCTGCCCAGACCACAGAGAAAGCAAATGGCAGAGACAGGTCTAGGCCTCAATACTCATTATTCTGGGCCATGCTCACAACTGTGGTCTTAGTATAGGCTTTGAATTGCTTGGTTCCCACAGGCACAACTAGTGCGAAGAGATTAGGCTAGATCCTCAGACAATCACCCTACTTTGACACCTCATGCTCAGGGGAAAAGGAGGTGAGGGAAGTCCTGTTTAGATGACAGTTTATATTTTGCATATATTTAAACTAGAAAAGTATTAGAGATCAGGTCTAATCCTTTTATTTTACATATGGTAAAGTTATTTTTACATATGGCATCTAGGTGGCTCAGTGCATAGAGTGCTGGCCCTGAAGTCAGGAAGACTCATCTTTGTGAGATCAAATCTGGCCTCAGACACTTATTAGCTGTATGACCCTGGGCAAGCCACCTAACTCTATTTGCCTCAGGTTCTTTATCTGTAAAATGGGCTGGAGAAGGAAATGATACATTCCAGTATCTTTGACAAGAAAACCCCAAAATGGGGGTCATGAAGAGCCAACTGACACTGACCGAAGAGTTGACTGAAATGACTGAACACGTATGCAAAATTTGAGGAAACATCACTCGGACAGTTCTAAGCAGAGCTGGGATCTGAACCCTGGTGTTCTGACTCCTAGTACAGTATCTTCTCTCTTATAGGCTCTCTCCCAAAGCCCAGTTTCTTATCTCAGAAAGCCCCATCCTATCTCCAGGGGGTAATGTGACCCCTGCAAGCAGCCAGACAGCAATGATTGAACTCCCCAGATGTGGACATATAGTCTGCTCAAGAAAGGTCATTCAGAGCCCTTACAGCACAAGTGGGTCCTGGGGTGATTTCCCTCCATTTGTGACAGCCCAGGAAGCTGCATGTGCTTTGGTTCCCTGCCCCCACAAAGAGAGGCAGAAGCCAGCTCTGCCCTGGAGGTCTTGACATACGGTGAAAAGGGGAATCTGCTGGTACGGTACAGGGCCATACAACACCCCCTGGAGCTGGAAGGAGAGACTTTGGCAGGGCATTGCTTCGGGACCTGGTTCTTGAGGAGCCCGGTGTGGCTCTAGGGACTGATCAGGAGGAGAATGGGGATATGTGGAAATGCCAAGTCAGTGAATGTCTCATGACCTGGAGTCCTTCTGTGGTAAGAACAGAGAGAGAGCTGTACTTCCTGCTCATAGGGATACCACAGAAAGAAAAGAGCTTTTTTTTTTTTTCTGCATGCCTCCTCTAGGGTATGGCCTATGAGGGTCAATGACAACATGGTTCAGAGGGGATAAAGGCAGAAACTGAGAGAATGGTTTGGATCATCCTTCTCTAGAGCTGTCTGGACCTTCATTCTAGAGCAGGGACCATGGGGAATAGTAGCCTTTGGTTTTTGCTTTATCTTACATATGCTCTCCCCAACCTCTCCCTTTGGGCTTGGCCTGGAAGATTTATGGATCCAGGCCAGAACCTGTTCTTTCTGTGTCAGGGACCATCATGGGCCACAAGGTTTGCTCTGTATGAGGAAGGAGAGGAGAAGCTTGAGCCCACCCAGGATGGAGCTGAGTTCCTTTGACCAAAGTGAACTCTAGCCACACAGAGAATTGCAGCTGCCCCCATCACTCTGGTGTTAATAGCCTGTCTGGGCACAGCCCAGTGACTCTCTGGTGCTCATAGTAAATGGTGAGGGTAGGGGGAAGGTTCCTGGAAGGTGGCATTCCACACTGCTTCACCTCAGTCCAGGGAATTAATCCCAAGGAATGAGCTCTAATCTGGGTAATCTACAGGATCAGAGACAGTGGAAACATTTCCCATTCACACTCTATTCCCTGGAAATGGGAACTGTGAGTAGAGAATGTATGTGAAGACTCACTCTCAGAGGGAGGTGGTCTGGTAAGGTGGAAAGGGTGCTGGATTTAAAGCAGAAAAGCCTAGGTTTAAATGCTGATTTTGCTACTTCTTCCTGGTATGACGCTGGGCAAATTACTGGACCTTAGTTTCCTCATCTCTAAAATGAGAGGATTGACCTCTCAGGTCCCTTCTAGCTATATGATCCTAAGTAAGATCCCTCATTCCTCCCTAGTGAGCCATTCTTCCCCATTATCTTTTCTGGATTAAAAAGATGACTCTTCTTTGGAAGTAGGTAAGACTAAGAAGGAAGAGTTCTGCTCCCCAGAGCCACGTAACCTCACCCACCTGAGTCAAGGCCATTAGACACTCCAGAATGCTGGAGGACAGATGTGATGGGTGGGAGAGTGGGACCATAAGGAGTGGAGGGGCAAGAGGAAGTTCTTTTCAGGGCAATGGAGCCCAAAGACTGATTACAACCATTCCTTTTCTCAGTATCTAGGGCCACCCTCATCACAACCCCTGGCTGAATCTCTATTATATTCCTTCTCCTCCTTTATTCTTCTTCACTCCTCTTCACAGGAAGATGTGAAAGCCCATGATGATTGAGCAAATAAATAATGGGCTGAGGAATGGGGTTTCAGTTTCCTCATCTACAAATGACAGTCTACAATTAGAGGATGTCTAAAGTCCCTTCCAACTTTAAATCCTGTGCTCCAGATTGGTTTGACTTCCCACTGTTACTTTCTTCAGGGATTTTGAATGAAGACAGTGTCAAGGAGGTCAGCTAACCTTCTTCGACTCCTTTGATCTACCCCCATCCCCCACCCCATAGTCAGTATAACTCGGAAACATTTTACACTGACTGGGCACTCTGGCTTCAAGATGATGGTGAGTATGTCTCCCAGAGGGATCTTATCACACCAGTTCTATTTCCCCCCATGGCTTTCTGTGCTTCCTATGCCTGTCTCACTATTTGGAACTCCACAAGCAGAGACCGAATATAAGAGACTAATGGAAAAAGGGACCAGAAGAGCCTAGATATGGTTTGTGAGAATTCAACTTATCTGGTCCTACAAGTACACGTACTTTTGGAACTGTGGTCTGTTGGGGAAAATCCATTTAAACCTGGAAGCAGAAACACAGTGCCATATTTACCATGTGGAGTGGTGATCTTCTAATAATCCGCAATTCAGAATGCGACCCCATGAAAGAAAATCATATTTTAAAAATCCTTCAGGCACAGAGAATATGCAATGATGAGTGGAACACATTAAGATTCCAATTCCAGATTGGTGGAGAGAGGTGGGAAGGATGCCTGGAATGCACTCTCTCTTCAGCTCTTCCTTTTAGATTCTCCATCTTCCTGTAAGGTTCATCTCCTTGATCCTTTCAACTTTTAGGGTCCACTTCAACTCATATCCCTAGAGCACTTAGGCTCATCTCTCCTCTGCCTCCTTCGGGTCATATTCCCTCATCAGAGAGTAAGGGCGTTACCCATGTGAGAACTGAGAGAATGATGAGAATTGAGTGAACCGCATGACTCCATCTTGTGACTCAATTCTGGAGTGACCTTAGTTCCCTTCGTATTCAATTATGGGTCTAGGCCAGTTTGTTTCGTGGTAAAATTTTATTCAATTACAGGAATTGTGAGAAAATGTATTGCATTGTTGGGAATTTCTTACATGGCTGGGAAGCTGGGCCACCTCTACCTGTTGCTTAGAGACCATTAACTAAGGACCTAGGTTATACTGACCAGAAACTCAGTCAGATCCAAAGACTGATAAAAGGAGTTTTCTTTTTCACCATCATATATCTCAAGCAACCTATATGTCTTATCTGAAAACTGGCCCCATGCTAGTCAATCAGTTACTATTTGTTCCTTTGATTCTTTACAGACACTTGGGGGAGGGAGTGGGACACCTCCTTTCTTGATTTCAGAGAATTGCACCTGTTCACTCATCCCCTTCCAACTTGGAACATCCCTAATCTTTCATTGAATTAGAAATCAGATTACCTAATATTATATCCTGGTTTATATCTTGTCAATTATTTTCTTTTAATGCATAAAAAATCTGTCACCCCCCCCCCCTTTTTTGTGTGTTTGAAAGCCGTTCTTGCAAGACAAGGGTCAGGCTGAGCCCTCACTGTTTACCGTTGCTGTTGATGAGGAGACCAGCAGCTGGGTTGAGGCCAGGAAGAACTCGAGCTACGTGGGCAGACAGCAAGGGGAAGGTGCCCAGTCAGCAGGGAGCCAGTGTCTGGTGAAATCAACAGCAGGTCCAGCAGGTTGTGATCTGCAAAAGAGGTCTTGTCCCCCACGAGAAAGGCCTAGCTTCCCTGGTTCTGGTTCAGCAGGGTCTCAAAAGGATTCAGCTGGATGTGCAGATCCTTCAATACCTGTCCTGTCCTTCTCGTAATTCTGGTAGATGAGGAAAAGGTACGTGAGCTGGGGGGTCCTCCACCCCAGCATTAGCCATGTCCAAGACAGCAGCTTCTTCAGTGTCCCTCCCATAGATCTCAGGGTGGCATTACGCTGAGTCTCCATCTGTGAATTTGAGGAGCTGGCCACAGAGACAGCTGGCCTTGAGGTCCCCCTTCATCCACATGTCTTTGGTCATTGTGTCCTCTTTCCTCATATGGTCTTGGTCAGCCAGGAGCATCCGGATAACCTTGCATCGCCCTTGGACAGGGACATAGGTGATGGAGCAGGAAGCCATCTCTGGAGAGAGTGGCACACAGGAACAAGTGTGAGCAGGAAGCCACCGTCTCCCTTCTAACCGGGGTCCGGTGCCACTCTGAAGAGGCCTGGCCCTGATTTGTTATGCAATTGGCATTCATTGCTTAATGGACAGGTGTGCTTAGAAGCTTGGACCTTTGTTTCCTTAGTTATTTCATCTTTCACCCATCACATATGTTAATGACAAAAATCACGAGGAAATAACAGAAAGAAAAGTTTCATTCTTAATAAATACAAAATGAATCCTCTCTCATGGTCTGTTGTGTACAAGGCAATGGCTTTTTTTCTTTTCTCATTTTGTATTTAAGTGTAAAATTAAAAAAAATTGCAACAAGAATGCAAAATACATAAAGTGTCTGGGAGTCAATTTCTCATGACCCGTTCCAGTCTTACAGGTGGCATTCCAGAGTCCTGGTGCAGGTTTAAGCTTTAATGGGCATCCTTCCCAACTTCTTCCACCAACCTGGGATTGCAATGCTAATGTGTTCCAGTCACCAGTGCATATCCTCTCTGCCTAAAAGGCTTTTTAAATCAGATTTTCCTTCACAGGGTGACATCCTGAATTGCAGATTATTAGAAGATTATCACTCCATGTAGTAAACATTATGCTGTGTTTCTGCATCTAAGTCTAAATAGATTTTCCCCAGCAGGAAAAACACTTCCAAAAATATATACACAAAATATTCTAAAATATATACATACTTGTACACACACACACACACACACACACACACACATATATACACACACATAATTATAAGAATTAATTTTGCATATAATAATCACATGTATAACCATTCTAAAAGATTTTAAAATAAAATCTTAAATAATAGCAAGGCTATTCATTGATCAGGGTTGGAATGCTCCAATAGAATAAAAATGATGATAACATATTAATTTATAACTGTATCAATTAAATTACCAGTGGTATAAATTAGAAAGTCTTACAAAATTTATTTAACATATCATTTGATTTCCACACAAAAGGTTTAGAATATTATGGAAGATAAGTTCAAAGCAGTAAGAAATAGAGGGATAGAATTTTCCTGTCTAATATTCTCCTACAAAGCAGAAATTATCAAAAGTGTTTGGTAATGGTTATAAATGGGAAAAATAGTAGATCAGTGAAACAAACCCAACTATGGATTATCAGAATCATTTGAACTCCAAAATCCAGTCTTCAATAAACCTGAGATTTACTTACTTACTTATTTACTTCCACAAATCCTTTAGGGCAGAGCCACTTATTTGATAGAATTCTGGGAGCATTGGAAAGCAGTTTAGTAAAAAATTGGTTTAGATCAACATTTTATACCACATACCACGATAAACTCAAAATTGATACATGGCTTGAATATTATAGGTTACATCATTTTAAAAAAATAGTGGAGAATCATATCAGTACCTTCTATAGCTGTAGTTAAGGGGAGAGTTATTAACTAACAAATGAGAGGGGTAATCATGAAAGATAAAATAAAACATTTTAATGTCAAGAAACTGTAACTCTTTTGACTTAAACTCAGCATAACTTGAATATGTAGAAGGGCTATTGAATGGAAAAAATAAGTCTGTACATCATATATTTCTGCAAAGTGTTTGATTTCCAAAACATGAAGGGAACTAACACACACATATGTGATCAAAACACATTCATCAATACGTTCAATTAATAAGTGTCAAAAGGATATGAACATATCATTATGAAAAGAAGAATTGCAAACTCTAAACAACTATATGAAATGCTCCAAATCACTAATAATAAGAAAATTGAAAATTAAAACAACTCTGTTTTCCCCTGACACCCAGGAAATTGGGAAAAATGAAAAAGTATGGGAATTCTGGTGTTCTACGTAAAGACATATACGTAATACTTTGTTCATGGAGTTGCACTCATCCAAACAGCCTGGAAAGCAATTTGGAGTTTTGCTAATGAAGTGAATAAAGTGTTAGTATTCTGATCTAGAGATCTCACTGTTAGGCATATATAGCCCATGGATGACAAAGGCAATATATATACATATATACATACATACATACATACATACATATACCTATGTATGTATGTATGTATGTATGTATGTATGTATGTATGTATTTCTTTAACATGTGCACTTTTGTTTGAACTGGTCTTCAGTCAATTTGCAGGTAAATCTCCTCCTCTCCCCCAAGTACTGGCACCAATCTCATAAAACTCACATGGAAATTGTAAAGTCTTCATTCACATCAGTATTGGGGGCAGGGAAGGACTTTAGGGGGCCATTCATTTTGGCTGACAAAAAACCCAAGTATTAAGGCAGAAGATAAAAAAGTTTTTTTTTAAAGGATTACATAATTTACCTGTAAAGCAATACTAGTACCTCCCTCCCTCCCCCTCCCCATCTGCATTTTTGTTACCTAGCTCCTTTGCTTTAGCAGAGGACAGCCTTCATAGAGGCTTGTAACTCTGTAACAATGCATTATACAATATTTGGAATGATTATTAAAAAAAAAAACCCAAACAAATGTACAATCAGAGTCCTGAAGATGCACTGTAGAACTTTGGGGATATTTGCCTCCAACATACTTAGACTGCTCATCACATTCACTGTTCCAGTTTTTAAATACTGAGTCAAGTGCCAACCCCCCCAACCCCCCCCCAAACCCAAATAAAGCCATGCCATCTCATCTCACTTTTTTGGGGGGGAGGGGACAATTATCACATCACACCCTTTGACCAAAAAAACCCCAACAAAACCAAAAACCCCACACAGTCTCTTTAGAAGCATTTGCAGTAGACAATGGACAGCCTAGATTCATCATATCCCTGCTTGCTGATTCGCCTCTGCTAGAAAGCGGAAAGAGCAGCCAGGATGGAGCCTCCAATGCAGACAGATTATTTGTGCTTAGGTGGGGCAATGTTCTTGATTTTCATTGTGCTGGGAACTAGGGCTGTAACCTCCTTCTGCGTCCTGTTGGCAATGCCTCCGTGTGTGGTGGTAGCACCAGACAATACGGTATTGGCATGCAAATCCTTATAGATGTTAACATCACACTTCATGATTGAGTTGAAGGTAGTTTCATGGATTCCACAGGATTCCATACCTAAGAAAGATAGTTGGAAGAGAGCTACTGGGCATTGGAATGTCTTGCTGCCAATGGTGATAATCTGACCATCAGGGAGTTCATAGCTCTTTTCCAGAGAGGAGCTAGAAGCAGCAGTCGCCATCTCCTGCTCAGTCTAGGGCAGCATAACACAGCTTCTCCTTGATGTCACACACGATTTCCCTCTCAGCTGTGGTAGTGAAACTGTACTCTCTCTGGGTCAGGATCTCCCTGAGGTAGTCTGTCAGATCACAGCCAGCCAGATCCAGATGGAGAATGGCTTGGGGAAGGGCAGAATCTTCATAGATGGGCACAGTGTGGGTCACACCATCACCAGAGTCCATCACAATACCAGTGGTACAGCCAGAGGCATACAGGGACAGCACAGCCTGGATAGCCATGTACATGGCTAGGGGTGTGGAAGGTCTCAAATGTAATCTGAGTCCTCTTTTCTCTGTTGGCTTTGAGGTTCAGGGTGGTTTCTGTAAGTAGCACAGAGTGCTCTTGAAGGGCCACACAGAGCTCATTTCAGAAAGTACGCTGCCAGGTCTTCTCCAAGTCTTCTCCCATGTTCAATAGGGCACTTCAGGGTCAGAAGACTTCTCTTGCTCTGGGCCTCATCCCCCATATAGCTGTCTTTCTGGCCCAAACCCACCATCACACCCTGATGTCTGGGATGCCCAAAAATGGAGGGGAAGACAGCCCGAGGGGCATCGTCTCCTGCAAAGCCAGCTTTGCACATTCCAGAGCCACTGTCCACAAAGAGAACAGCAATGCTATCATCCACGGTGAACTTCAAAGTGGCGAGCTTAAACCCTTCAGAGAGAGAGACAGAGAGAGAGGAGGTGGTGCAACACCTGGAGGCCGCGGGAAGCAAGTGCAAGCTGGGTGGAAGAACTCATATCAAAAAAGTACTCTTTTGTGGTAGTAAAGAGCTGGGAATAAAGCAGATAGATGCCCATCGGTTGAGGTAAAGGCTAAATAAATCATGGTGCATGAGTGTCTGTAAGAAGCCATGTGTATAGATTCTTTTTATTTTTAAAATTTTTATTATTATTATTTTTGGGTAATTGGGGTTAAGTGACTTGCCCAGGGTCACACAGCTAGTAAGTATCAAGTGTTTGGTCTCAGGCCGGATTTGAACTCAGGTCCTCCTGACTTCAAGGCCAGTGCTCTATCCACCGCACCACCTAGCTGCCCCAATTCTTTTTTTTTTAACCTAGAAATCATTAACAATCCCAAACATTTCACTCTACGAAGAACAAGAAATAGGATTACATAAGATATTGAATTTCTTTTAGCAAGCATATATCTATTCAGTTTAACAAAGTAGTAACACAGTTGCCCTATTTGTTACTGGACCTTCTCTTCTTGTTTCCTTCTGTATATCAAAGACATGAAAATGCGGAATTCAGAGAAACATGGGGGCATCTATCTCAGTGGGCGCCAATAAAAGGAGCAGGGCCAGGAGCACAAGATGCCCAATGATGACAACGATGTCAATGGAATGAATGAAAATACTGGAAAGTGGGGAGCCCCAAAGCAGAGATGAACAAACATGCCTCTTCTTTGTTTCAGAAGCGGGAGCCTGCAGGTATGGACCATCGAATGTATTGTCATCTCTGCTTGACAGTTGGTTAGTTTGCTGCTCCCCTCCAGAGTTTCCTTTCTTTTCTTTGTTACCTAGGATGGCTCTTGGGGTGGGGTGAGGAAGGGATAGATTTAGAAATAAAAATGATATAAAAATAAAGTCTCAATATATTTAAAATAAAGGAATCTCAGCATCTTGAGGGTAGGGGTTATTGTTTTTGTTTGTTTTCTCAGAGAAACTGGGGGAGAAACAGGCCTAGGTCCCACTGACCTCAGGCTAGCCATTACTTGCTCTTCTACCCATTCCATGAATATTCTCTCATTCCTAAATAACACAGTTCACTAGACTCGCATTCAAGACTCTCCAAAATCTAGCACCAACCTACCTCTCTGCCATTAATGTCTATGGTTCCTATAGGGAAATCATCTGGTAATGTCAAAATGGTCCTGAAACAGCTGGTGGCATAGTGGATTGAGCACTGGACCTGTGTTCAAATGTGTCCTCACACACTTATCAACTGTATGGCTTTGGGAAAGATACTTAATCTCTGTTTGCCTCAGTT